TATTAGAGAACTTGCCAATTCTTCTAGAGAAGTGTTGTTCATATCCTTTGTAAGCTTGAGCGCAGTTACCATAGGCCTCCATTTGGATGACAAGCTTCTGATAATATTCTTCACGTGATCTGTTGTTGAATAAACTTTGTTCAAAACTCTCAGCCCTGCAACTAAGGTTTAAAACCTTGAGAACATCTTCTGAATTGTTTCATCATCCTCCATCTTGAAGGCTTCATACTTCTGAATCAAGGCCAAAGCCTTGGTTTCCTTAACTTGAACATTTCCTTCATGAGTCATTTTGAGAGAGTCAAATATAGACTTAGCTAAGTATCTATTTGTGATCTTCTCATACTTAGTGTAAGAGATAATATTCAGCAAGATAGTTCTTGCTTTATAATGATTCTTACAATTCTTTTTTTGTTGATCAGTCATAGCTTTCCTCTCAAGCTCCTTTCCATTCTCATTTATAGGATGTTCGTAGTCATCAACTAACATATCCCAAAGATCAATATCATGACCTAGGAAGAAACTTTCTAGTCTATCTTTATAGTACTCAAACTTTTCACCATAAAAAATGGGAAGTTTAGCATTGTAGTTATCTTTATCAGAAACTAGAGCAGTTGGTGATGGAACAGGATCGACCATAATGTTTCTAAAACTCGTCTGGATCTTTATCTGACACAGTTAAGTGTTTGATAGATATCAATACCAAAACTGGATCTCTAATGCTAATTGGAAGTGCGAGAAACACAAGAAAGGGGGTTGAATTGGGTTGCACCAAATTTAATCTTTTTCCAACTCAAAACACAAAGATAATTAGTGAATAAAAATAGATGAGCACAATTATTTTTATCCTGGTTCACTGTTAACTAAGTTACTCCAGTCCATCCAGCAAGGTGATTTGCCTTATACACAAGGACTTAATCCATTATAATCAACTAGATTACAAACAACCACAATAAGTCTGATCAACCCTATTGGAACCCCCAATAAGTCCGCTGATCCTTATTATAAACCACTATGACCGCAAGCAGAGTCTTCTTGAGTGTTCATACCTTCACTCGGTCACTCAAGGAACTTATCAACTACAGTTGATTTACAAAGATGTGAATACAAATTTGCTTCTATACAAGCAGATTACATAGAGTTTAAGTACAACAACAAAAAGTGTTGATAGCAAGATGTGAGCAACAACTCCTTGCTTACTTATAAAACTATACAAAATAAGATTTCTCTACAGAGTTTTTATGCATCAGTTTAGTATAGATTTGTTGAACTGATTCATTGATTTCAAATTCTCCCAAGTACTCCTTTTATAGCTGAAAAGAAGAGATCCGTTGGAGGCGTAGAATAGGAAATACAAATACAATTGTATTGTTTCAAACAGTCATAGTGAGATTGGTAGACAATAGTATAAAAAGGTTTGTCCTTGCGCCACTCTAGAGAGTAGATGTCACATTGTACTTTTATACTTTTATACTCGCAATCACACACAATCCCTTTAGTCTTGATCTTCGTCTTCTATGTCTTCAGAGACTTCTGACATATTTGTTGATGAAACATGTTGTAGAAGGATCAGAACTAATATCTTTCAAAACCTAAGTCATTAAAACCTTTCCGGGCTTGTTAAGAGAATCCTTACCTTAGTTAGTTCTTCAGCACTTGGTCTTCAGAAGAATATCTCTAGATCTTTAGAACTTCGTTCAACAAAACCTTTGTCTTCAGTATCTTCAGAACTTGGAACATGAGAAGTAAATCTTTAGAAGTCCTCCAAAGCTTCCTTGAATAAGTCATGATCATAAGCTCTTTTACTAACATTTCTTAGAATTGTTGCATAAGACGTATTCCTTAGTCTTGATTTAACTTGTAACACATCAAAGATATTCTTCCAAAGTGTTGAGTTCAGAACCTGATGACGTCACACGCCTTCTTACCAGAGTCTGAACCTACATGACAAAAGCCACACACTAGACAGAAACATGTTAGAATATACAATTGTTCTTAAAGATAACATGTAAAATGATCATCAAAACATAAGACCAGATGTAGCACAAACTTTATTCTCACATAACATTTTGAATGTGATGAAGAGGCCAAATGTGTTCCTTATCACCACAATAATGATAAATAACTTTAGATGAAATGTTTCTTCTATTTCTTCTAGTGACATGAGTTTTTTTAATGAAATCATCCTTTTATCACTTGAATAGCTAGAACAAGATTACGATAGTGAAGCAACATGAGTTAGTTTTCCTTTGAGATTTTCAATTTCAAGTTTTAAAGTTGGACATGTAACACATTATACTTTTTCTACCTTTTTAACTAAAGTGTATGAAACATTGTAACGCTCGTCAACTAGAGATGCATGCGTGTCTTTAAGACAATCTAAAGTACGATTTAAGATTATTTATCTCCTTTTTAAGTGGTAAAATAATTTCTTTTTGGAGAGTAATCTTCTTAAAAGCATTTATAGAATCCACATACATATCATTAAAATCTTGCGACAATTCGTTGTAAGAATATTCATTATCAAAATTATAAATATATAGTTTTTATATTTCACCTTTCTTACGTGCCATTAAACATAGGTTGACACACTCTTCATCTGAACTTGAGCAAGAATCTGGAGAGGAGCTCTCATCCTCTTCTTCCCACATGATATAGGCTTCACGAACTTTGAACTTTTACTTTCGTCTTATAGAAACTCTTATCTTTTTTTTTATAATGTTTAGTGAGACTTGGACAATTAGTTCTAAAATGTATCGATATACCGCACTCCTAACAAGTAAAGTCACCATCCTTTTTTTTGTGTTCTATTTTGAGTGGATGAGTATTTCTAAAATTTATCAATCATTGAAATATGTTAATCCATGAGAATTCTGTACAGACCCCCAAATTAGGCAAGATATTATCTCTATCACTAAAATAAAAAAGCTTGTATTGCAAGTTATTAAAAAACCTAGGAGGATAATCAAAATGATTCACTTGTGATTTTGTAATAAAGAATAATTTAGGATTATGCAACTTGCATAATCTTTTAAAAGACATTCTTAATTGGGTGTTTGCAAAAATTCTTATATTCCACTAAACACATTTCATTTGAGAGAATGCTTAGCTCCCCCCTTTGGGTAACTATTTTACTATCACTATTAATCTTGAGTCTTAGTTTCTTTATTTTTGAGAAATGGATAGAATAGTTTCAAATTCGCCATCTTTAATATTAATTCTCTTCTTCATAAGAATATCAACTTTCACCATATAAGACAAATTAAATTTGGAATTTTTCCAATCTTGTTGAATAACCACATGGATATTGTCTAAAATTTCAACGACTATCTCTTCCTAAATATTAGCAAGTAGATCAGACATATCATTATGGTCCACATGACCGTCAATATTCTTGTTGTTCCTTTCATTGTTTGTTTTAGGTAAAACAACGTGAGCTATAAGATGTATATTGTGAAGAGACATCATGTGGGACAATATATTCCAACATGTGCGTATTATCTTGTCTTAGATTATTAACTAGAATTTGTGAATAAATCTGAGTGTGATTTTAGTTAATTCAAATGATATTTGTTGTTGTATCTTTTAGAAATGTGATATTTAGTAAGATTTTCTAAAAAGACTCCGTAAGATCAAATTAGATTAAATGAGATTTAATCTACAAAGTAATCAAATCATATCCAATGCCTTGGGATAAAGCAAATCAAATTTGCATCAAAATCAAATCTAATTATTCTCAAATCAGTAGTCCATTGGAGAAAAGCCTAGCTAGCATATAAGTGTTATTTAAATCTGTTTTATGAATTGATCACTAGGATTATTGATTGAGAGAAAGTGAGAGGGGATCTCATATTTAGAGGGAGTCCTAAATAGAAAGTCATGTGTAGTATTAAGAAGAGAGATATTGAACAAGGGTCGTTCATCTAAGATTACTTGTATTAATACTATTGCAAGTGAATTTCCTTTCTTGGGTTAGAAGCCCCTCAAACGTAGGTGACGTTGCACCGAACTCTGTTAACAATTCTGTGTTCTTTATTGTCTTTTGATTTATTTTATATTATTTGTCAATTTGTTATAAGAAAGTTATACACATTATCCCAAATATTGCGTTTAACATCTGTCATGCGAAAAATATAATTTCAATTGACGTTAGAGCAGACACCATATTCTGTCTAGGGAAGCTTTAGAGAAAGTAAAATTTGTTCAAATGATAAACTTGATATCTCTATACTCAAACCTTGTTTTAATGACCTAAATAATGAAAGTGTATCATTATATCTTACAAACCTTCCGTCTGAATATTAGCTCGATCCAAAGATTAACAACTCCGAAACTGCAATTTTTCTAAAACTGATTTGAAAAAAATAAACTTATTTCAAGACAAACATAATTTAACCAAACATTATGTTGTCCAAAATATTGTATTTAAGGCCAAGAAAATATATCACACTAACTTTACTCAAGTCTAATAAAGTTACAATGTTTGGTAGAGTTTAATTGAGTTCATAAAAATTAATAAAAAAGAGAATTTACTTGTGGGTTAATTCATTTAGAAATTTAAGAATAGAAATTCATAACAATGTAGATGTTAATTTAGAGTTTGAAAATTTTGTCTCTGTAATGACTATTATATTTATTCATATATCTAGAATTAAGAATAAGTTTAAAGAAATTATCAAATATCCTAATCACTTAGTTGTCATGGTGTGAAAGAGCTTCTTACCTTGTTTGAAAAATATATTCATATTTAACCTTTCAATAGTTCAATATGTGTTGACGACCAAATATTGTCACAATAAATCCAATGATAATTTAACCTTTCAATAATTCAATAGGCGTTGACGACCTAAGATTGTCACAATTAATCAAATGGTACAATTTAATTTAATAAAGTTTTTTAATTCATCTTTTTTAATCATTTTATTCATCTTTTATATATTTCGTGCGATGATAAATATATATTAGTCTATTGTTAACTATAATATACTCCTAATTTATCAAGGATGGAATCCAAGTCTTTTATCTCTTTGTTCTTTTCTTGTGCAGTGGTTATTATATTTGTTGCGGCAATTGAGTCGTCTAAAGATGAGAAACAATGTAAGTATAATTTATGTTTTCATTATTATAGTGAAAACAATTCTTTAAATTCTTATATGTGTAAGATATTTTTCACTATAGGCAGTAAATTTTAGTATGCACTTATATGAAATTACTTGATCAACGAAAAGCACGTTCGAGTACCAAACTAATTATATAAGGAATATTCAAGACCAAATTGACAATACCTCACATATTTAAGTGTTGAAATTTTGTTCATCCTTTATTATATTTAATAAGTAGTTTTATGTTGATTTGCAGTTGGTGAAACAAAAGAATTCCAAAATAAAATTGGATTCGATTATAGAAAACCCTGGACCACTTGGTATGACTATCCAAAGAAACATAAGGGTGGTAAAGGAGGCAACAAAGGTGAACTTGGCTCAGGTAGAACAGGCTCAATAGAAAATGGTGGTGAAGGAGGCGCAAAAGGCAGGGGTGAACAAAATGGAGGTGAAAAAGAGAATGGAATTGAGGGCTAGGTGGTATATCATGAAAATCAGACACATCATTGCAGTATGAAAAATATAAGTATTAATGTTTTTTACACCATGTATGATCTACAATAAGAGAAACATTTTCTCTAATTTAATATTATTTTCACTTATATCCTTATATTCATATATTCTTGGATTGTATCATGTGATACTCTAAAACTCCAACTTCCAATTTTTTTATGAAGCATGATGTGCGAATTATTTATTTCATATAATAAAATATAATATCATATTAACTTAAATAACATAATATAGTATCATAATAATAACATCATTGCTCGTATATGAGTTTTTGATTAAAACACAAACCAAACATAATAATTAAAAAAATATGAAACTGGACTCCGATGTCACAATACTAGTTGATTTAACAGTTCAACATATATAAACACAAAAGAAAATAAATGAAGTGGTCTTCTACACCATCCTCAATAAAAGTATCATATTATGACTATTCATCATTCTCAACCTAAGAATATCACTACAAGAGTGTTGGTCCTGAGCGACATCATAATCTAATTATGTCCAGTTAGCGTCGATTAATAGAGATACTCTAGTATTGAATACATTGAGTTAGCGTCGACGTTGTTAGACACTATAGAACTATGATCGTGTATTATAGCGTTGCTAATAATCGAAGCTAATAGTTTTCTAATTTCCTATTTTGCAATTTAGTATCAGTTGTAGACGTTGCTATAAGCCTAAAATCGTGCGTTATGGCGTCAGTTATAGTCGCCGCTATAAGCCTATAATCGTGCGTTTGGCAATTTTTTTTAAAAATTTAACCCCCTGTTTAAAATCACATTTATTTGCTACATTGTATATTTATTGAAACCTGATTTTAATTTTAAATTGCTCATCGATATATTATCACATCAAAATTCCAACACAATATATAAAACTTGTGTAAGTCCACAATATTTATACATTAATTAAGATGTCAAAGTTACATCAAAATATTGTCAAAATATATCAAACTTGTGCCCACCCACAATATTGTTACATAAAGATGTCAATGTTACATCAAAATACCAACATAAAATATCAAACTTATGAAAATCCATAATAATTTGAACAAGTTTTAAAATTAGGAAAACGACAATGCATAACGATGCATTATCTAAAACTAAGGTTAATATCATTCTTCATCTAAATCTACTGCAATGACTACGAGAACCAAGGTATTGACTATCCAAACAAGCAAGGAATGAGGGTTTATACCTATGGATTGCAGAAAATTGGGCAACACGAGGAAGACTAGTGAAAATCGATTGGAGCAATGCAATATTCAAGCTAGGGTTTCATCTTTTCAAAGCAAGGGCTTATCAGTGGAATGTAGAAGTTAGCAAATTGGTAGAAATCTTCAATCTACAAACAGTTGAGTTAGGGTGAATCTTCAGTCACAAAATACCAAACTCAAGCCATTGTTTTCCAGTCGTCGAAATACTTAGTGAAAAACAGTGGATAGACTGATTGAGAGACTAAGTGCGAACTCAATCCATCGAAATACTGAGTGAGAAGATTGTGGGACAAAGGGAGAAAATGTGAGATTGAGAGACTGAATGAGAAGACGAAGAGACTGAGTGAGAAACGGTGGAGTGAGTGATTTTAATTTTTGTTTTTATCATTTGCAATTATTTTATTTTATAAGTTTCTGTAGTATTATTTTAAATTAGTTTTATTCTATTAATTTATAAATAAAACTAAATTAAAATAAAACAAAATTAATAAATAAAAACTAAATTAATAAAATAAAACTAAATTAAAATAATATTATATTTTCAACTTACAGTTTTCTTTGACTTTTTTTTTTTAATTTATAGTTTCAGTTTATATATTTTTTTTGTCATGTTTTTTATTAGAATAAAACAAATTGTGGAAAAAATCAAACAAATAAAAAACAATAAAAATTAAAGTTAGCGTCGATCCACACTACCGCTATTTTAAAAATTAAATAATTAGTTAAAAGAATAAAAATAGGTGGTAAACAAAATATGTGGGGGAAAATGAACAAATTTTGTATCAACTTTGGCGTTGGTCAACATCGACGCTAACGAAAAAAACAATAGAAAAATAATAATTTTATACTAGAAAAAGTTCGCATCGGTCTCGATTATCGCTACTATTCATGACTTAAAAAATTATATAAAATAATAGAAAAGAAGGCAAACAAAATTAGTGGATAAAATAAAATTTTTTTGCACTAAAACATAGCATCGGTTACTATCGACAGTACTATAAAAAAAAACAAATAAACAAACAAATAAACAATGGAAATACTACGTAGTGTCAGTCATGTGTGTTGCTAGATTTCTAATTAATTATATTTATTGTTGGAGGGCCGACACTACCTTTGATATCGTAATGGGAAAAACTAAAAATATACTATTTATAGATTAGCGTCGACTCAAAGGAATTTAATTAATGCTAATAGCGTCGAGTATGAGGTCGATGGTAAATGCTTGTAGCTTAAAGGTGATGTAAATTGCGTGAGTATTTATCGACACTGCTATAAAAATAAACAAATAAATAAATAATGTAAATACTTCATAGTGTCAGTCCTATACGATGCTAGATTTCTAATTAATTAATTATATTAAATGTATTATTTTCATATTTGCGCGGGAGGCTGACGCTACATTTTATATCGTAATGGAAAATTAATCATATGCTATTTACAGGTTAGTGTCGGTTCAGAGGGACGTATAGTTAATGTTAATAGTGTCGGTGTTGAAACCGACGCTAAATGCTTACAACTAAAATGTATTTTTTTAATAGTGTAGCCTCCACATGATTCATTCATAGAAACATAGAAACATACGGGTAAAAATATATTGTACAAATAATAAAGTACAATAACATCAAAGGATAGCATGACACATAACATACATCTGTATGACATTACACCAATACATACAATATTACACAACGACGCAATTTTAGACTTCATTAGCGAAAAAAGGATCCACAACTCAACAAGAGAAACACATAAATGCTCCAATCTCCATAAAAAGTCTTATATTCAATATATGCTATATTTCAATGTTCACTTTCAAAAATTTCAATTAACAACTATGATGCGTTTTCATTTTATATGCTTACAACGACTTCGTGCTTCTTTCTCATTTGAAGTATATGTTCCTGGTGTGCAAACATATTTTCTATTATTATTCCTTGCATTTTATGTAAGTTTGTGATCTATTTATTAGCGCATGAGTTAATTTGATCATGGTTTCGTATAGGTTCAATTCTTGATCAAGTCATGTCACATGTTATGTGAGCATCTTTGTTTTGGTTTTAGTGGTGATGTACTTTTCACCAAGCTAGCCACATACATGTGCATCATCGAGAGCATCACTGTGAAGTGTTATATATTCGTGATGTTTTAAAACGACTCAAGAGTTTACTTTTGCATTGTATTCACATCTTTCATGTCTTTGTACTTGTTATTATGGTGATGTGTATTTCCTTTTATTTAAGTTTAATTTTGTGTCACTCCATGTATATGGGTATATGTGAGTGCACGTTTATTGCTGCTGTAGAGCGGCAAGCAAAAAGTAAGTTATTAATTTACTGGGTGATATAGGTTATATCGTATCTTCTATAGAGATTGGTTATTAAATTTTTGTTCGACAATTCTATCGTTAATGAGTTTGAAAGTTGAATGGGTTGAAAGAAAATGTATTAACAGGAAAAAAAAAATATAGAAAGGAAAAAAGAATAACTTGTCAAGCATGCATATATACTACTTCTCACAGACTTAAATCTATTGACTTTTTATACTCAACCTACAATATTCATCAATGTCACTATGTATCACTCACAACTCAAATCATTTCTAACCCAAATTGAGAGGCCGACTGCGTCACCTAGGTAGCAATCTCTCAACCACCTCAACAATACAGAAGTCAATCATGCTCGCCTGTATCGACGATCTCTCAGAGTGACACAAACAAAACAAAGGAATTAAGCTCTGATACTCAAGTAGATGTCAGCTCTAAATCTATCTCTAGAATCATAAACTAACAGATAATCATCCTAGATAAGAATCTAAGCAGTATATGTCTATAACAACTCAAATCCCTAACACAGAGTAAAAATCCAGGACAATAATCCACAAATATTTGTAAAGCAAGTTTTATATAACTCCAATGGCGACAAATATATATCAGTTCAAAGAAAATATACATACAAACCCAACCAATAGAGAATACACAAAGAGGAAGAGAAATGAACCACAAATCTACCAGTTTGTTAGTGTTGATCGAAGAGCAATCCACCCCGGATCATCCGTATGCAAGCTCCGTCATTGTTATCTAAGCTAATCCTAACAAAATTTACAGGTTGATGGAGTTAGGAGCAAAAACTTCCCCAAAATCATAACCTAAAAATGAATGAAATCTGTTTTTATTAAACAAAACTCAGCAGGCCGCACTAAGCGCGACTTCATTATTTAACACATCAAACCGCCTAAAACCGCGCTAAGCGCGTTATCCGCGCTAAGAGGGCTTCAAAACATTGGTTCTGCCAAATTGTCAAACGTAAGCAGCATGCTACAAAATGCGTTGAGCGCCACTCGCGCTTAGCAGCCTCTGCACGCTAAGCCGACTCTCCTAGGCAGAATATCCTAAAACTGATCTTTTATTCTGAAAACACGCATCCGGAGTCGTGCCTTTGACACCTTATTCCTCAATGCTCCAAATGCAACAAATACCTACAAAATGTATGGAAAAACATCAAACGATACATTATGTACACAAAAGCACAAATAAATACAAACTAAACATATTTACACAAAAGTCGGGTTTATTTAACGATATTAACAATAAAAAGTCGATAAGTGCAACAAAAAGTATATACAAAAATAACTATAATTTGCACTTATCAAACTCTCCCCAACTTGAACTTGTTTTCCCTCAAACAAAGCCAAACAACTCAAAGAACCAAAATAATAAACCAAAATATCATGAATCAACAAGTTTTGA